CTTGGCCGTTGTGGTCCTCAGGACTCTAGTAACAGCTGGTGTGCTAGCTCTCTAGTTAGTGTCTTAGCATCTTGACTACAGTGTGACTTCTCTGGTCTCAGGTCTTCATGCTGAGGAGTTCCTGTGTCTGGAATCTCTTTCTCTAATTGGGTCTGCGTTCTGTGGTAATAACATTTTCTGGGAAGCTTTTATTGAATGGCTGTGCCTTTGAAGTTGGAGGACCAGGGCCGAATTCATTTCTCCTCATTTTTTCTCTCCCTCTCTCTAGCCCTCCCTGCCTTCATTATTCCCTCCTTCTTTTGCTTTGTTCCCCTATTTCATTTTTTTTCTTTTTTGTTAAGGTGTTAGGAACATGCAATAAATTAGACATATTTTAAGGATGTGGTCATTTAAGTATAATTATATACCTCCAAGTTCCTAAGGCTCCTTCGTATTTTCTTTGTGTGTACATGTGGTGAGAGAGTGAGGTGTGTGTGTATGTGTGTGTGATCTCAGGAGTCATTGCTCAGCACTGGTCACCATTTATTATTATTATTGCCTTTTTCAAGCTTCCCATAAGTGGCCCCTTACAGCACCCCATTTTTGCATCTGACTGTCCACACCCTCTGTATTGGTTCATTCGGCAGCTGCTAATATTCTTTTCTTTATATAATCCTACTGTGTGATCCTATATGTATTGTAATTTAAATTTTTTTAAAATTTTTTCTGTTACTTTTATCCACGTGTATCAGTTTTATGCAATATTAGGTTTCATTGTAACTTTTCATGATGTATATTCACACTCCCATTATCTTTTCCTATCACCCCCACTGGATCTGCCTCTTTCCATAATACTTCCCTTCCTCTTTGCATGTCCTCCCCAAGCCCCTAGATTCCACACGTGAGAGAAGACATACGATACTTATCATTCGGACAAAGTGGCTCATTTCACTTCTTCCCAGTTTCCTACAGTGGTATGACTTCATTCGCTTTTGTGGCTAAATAAAACCTTGTTGTCTGTATCCATCGTATTTTCCTCACCTGCTCATGTGTTGAGGGAAACCTTGGCTGATTTCACGATTTGGTAGATGTGAGCACACAGGTATCTCCCAGGCACGCTGACTTGGATGCCTATGGGTCAATTGGTAGTTCTGTTTATGGTCGCCGGAGCGAACACTGCTCTGACTTTCATAGTGGCTGAGCTAATTCAGGGTCCCCCAGCAGTGCCTGAGGGCTTCTTCATCCTTTTGCATCCCTGTCAGTATTTGCTATTTTGTTGTGGTGGTCATTTTCTTGATGATAACAGTTCTGACTGGAGTGAGTTGGAATCTCAATTTTTGATTTGTATTTTCTTGAAAGCTAAGGATGTTGAACATTTCTTTACATACGTCCTAGCCATTTATAGCTCTTCTTTTGAGAATTGTCTTTTCAGTTTATTTGCCCATTATTGATTGGGTGATTTTTTTGTTTGATTTTTAAAATTCCTTATATTCTAAAATTTAGTCCCCTGGCAGATGTATAACTAGCAAAGATTTTTTTCTCCTTCTCTATGATGTTTCTACACTCTGTTTTTCTTCAAAATACATCGATGCAATCCCATTTATTAATTCTCATGTTTCCTGAACTATTACAAGTCTGATTCAGGAATTCCTTCATTGCACAGCTCCTATCCTTATTATTATAATGTTCTTGTTAGCTTACAAAGTAATGGGTTTCATTGTGACATTTTCATACATACACATCACTATACTTTGTTATTATTTTCCATACCATTTTTCCCCTCCCCCCTCCCAGCCTCTTGCTAGCCCTCTTCCTCCTGGTCCCTGCTTTTATGTAATGTATTTTCCATCAGCTTCCCTTGCTTCTTTCTGCTTTAGATCTCTTTCTTGTCCTCAGAGTCCCCTTTCTCCTTACATGGCTATGATAAAGTTTCTAGATTGAACTAGTGACAATGGGAAGCGCTACTCACAAAATGAGTACCAGCATTCACCTCTCTGTTTCCTGACTGTGCACACAATAAAAGCACAGGCCTTATGCTCCTGCCACTATGACTTTTTCACCACAATTGTCACAGATTTTGAGTCAAGACGAAGCCTCCTTTCCTTACTTGTCAGGCACTTAGTTATGGCAGCAGAAAAAAAAAAAATTACAAGGGAGCTTCCTGCGGCCCTATTGTAAGCAAGTGAAATCTGAAGACTGTTACTACAGCAAAACAGAACACAGCTGTGGAAGTGGGCTCATCTCACATCTTTCCTTGTGGTCTCGCAGTTCTTCCCAATTTCTTGTTCATGAAGTGGCACAAATCCTAATGAAGTTGAACTTTCTATCTTCCCACTTGTACTGGACCCCAAACCTGTAAAGGTAGAGGCAGTTCATCTTGATTATTACCTAGAACTTTGAAGAACAGTGGCAGGGCTTACACATGCTTAGCTTTAGCCTTTCATAACAGTGAAATCAGTTTTCCTCCATATGCTCGCCTCACGGTGGGTGGCTTGGAAGAGGTTGCCATTTCTCTTTGTTTCTAACTTCTGGAAAGTTGATTATAATGTGAATAACTGAGATTCTCTGGGTTCATCTTATTTAGTGTCTCTTGTATGGAAACCCTTTTCCGGTGTGGAGAATGTAGTTGCTCTACCCTCCCTCTCTGTGCCCACACTCCTCCTAATACTGTGGCTCAAGGGGGTTTTAGCATGGTTGGTAGCAACATCTCACATTTGACTTTCCCAAGCCCCAGAATTTCTCTTTATGGTACAGTTGCTAAGTCCACTTCCCCATCCTGGGTCAGTACCTCTTCTAGTTTTGTTTCTGCTATAGCAATAAAATACCAGGACAAAAAAATCAACTTAGGTGTCTCTAATACTGTAAACAGACGCTTTGCACACTTCCTAGCACAAACTCTCACACCTGGCAGATGCTAGTTAAATATTTCTCAGAAGAAGGCCTGCTATTTATGTCATAGTGGTAAAAAAAAAATGAAAATTTTATAAAAAGTTATAGGGTGGATGTTCATCATTCCAGATTGCAGCCCATCGTTACTGGGAAGACGAGGCGGAAACTTCACGCATCTAGTCACATCACACCCACGGTGAAGAATGGAGAGAAAAAAGTGTGTACGCGCTCACTTGCTTGCTGGCTCTTGGCAGGGCAACCTACTGTGGAAAGTCCCTCCCTGGGGCTAGGACCCTCTTCCCAGGTCATTCCCGTTTGTGTCAGGTTGACAGCACCCCAATTACCTTTTGCTCATCACATTCCCTTGTCAGGTGTCCCCTCTCTCCCCGAGGTCACTTGTTGATTTATTTGGCCAGCGCTGAGCTCCCTACTTCCTTGTTCCCCGTATCTGATCGTTCTAACTCACCCTACCCTCTAACAACAACAAGTTACTGCGTTTCGGGCGTCATCACACACCTCTCTGTCCAGTTCTGATTGGCATGGGCATTTATCAGCTGTTAGCAAACTGAACTTCACTGTGCTGGAGTAGAAAGGTGCCAGAGTGAGAAACAGCTTGGGAAAAACCAGCGCCTCCAAGTTCAAGCCAATGTCTCTGTAACTTTTGATTAAGGAATCTGTATCGTGTGTTGATTTGTAGGGGCTCTTTACACAGCTGGCTCTTGCTTTTTTATCTACCTTACATGCAGGTAGATAAAAGAGAGTTTCCTCCTTGGTCCTGTATCTTTGCTTACGCCATATTTTACGGTGGTTGGTTTTTAATTTAATTTAATTTAATTTTTTTATTGTTGCTGTTGTTTTTGCTTTTTTTTTTTTTTTTTCAGACAGGTTTTCTCTGTGTAGCCCTGTCTCTCCTGGAATTAGCTCTGTAGACCAGGCTGGCCTTGAACTCACAGAGACCCATCTGCTTCTGCCTCCTGAGTGCTGAGGTTAAAGGCATGTGCCACTACCGCCCAGCTCTTTAGAATTTTATAGTTTTAAAATTTAGTTTGTCAGTCTTTCCTCAGTGGCTTGGGTTTTGTAATGTCTCAAGGCACGAAGTGTATGTTTTCTTGAAATTTTTTTTTCTCACACTTAAGTCTCTGGTTCATAAATCATATGTGGAAAAAGTCATGGGTATAATCCTAACTTTTATGTACGGAGAGCAAAGTGTTCCCCAAATTTTGAATGGCTGCGTAGATGCATAGTGTTCTCATTCACCGCATTGATTCTAAAGTAGGTTTGCAGGGCTGGAGCAACGGCTCAGCAAATGAAAAGCACTCGCTGCTCTAGAGGATATACGTTCGGTTCCTAAAACCCATGTCAAATGACGCACGACGATCCATTACTGCAGCTCCAGGGGCTCTGACATGCTACACACGCACACACGCACACAGATGGCACCCCCCCCACAAACACACACACACACTCACCTACGCATATACACACACCCACGCACTCACACACATGCCCACATTATACATTAAAAAAATAAAATAACAAAGCTAAGGTAGATTTACTTCTGGGCCCTCTATTCTATGGCAGGGGTGTGATTTTATTCCTGGGACAAGACCGTATTTACCCAGTGAGTACAGTTAAGAATATCTTTCCTTTCTTTTCTTTTCTTTTTCTTTTTGGAATCGTGCTTTCTTCGTGGGCCACAGGGCTGAGCCAGCTGGCCAGGTCACTGGTACAGGTACAGCCTGGAATCTCCGCCTCCCACTTCTCACTTCTCGCCTGTGCTGAGTAACTTTTTGCTGTACAGCGATTCCACGTGGGTCTCAGGGGAGAACTCAGAGTTGGGGCCCTCCACCATGGCCTGCCAGGGCAGGCCTCCTGGCAGGAACCGCAGTAGAAGCACTTGGTCATGTCAATGTCATAGCGTGTATCCCGGCGGCTGTCATCAGCTCTTGGCTCAGCCGGGATGGTAACAGCTCACAGAGCTCGCTGCGATGTAGCCTTTCTTCCCACACGGATAGCGGCGCACTGCATGCTCCCACGGAGGCGTGGACTCAGCAGGTCCTTCTCAAATGGGTAGTTGATGGTGGCAGGCTCCCAAAAGAGGGAGCTCAGGGTCATGCCCAGTCCTCGGAAGAGTCGCTTCTTGGCCCTTTGGCTAAGATCAAGTGTAGTATCTGTTCTCAGCAGTTTAACATCGTTCTATTTTTAAAAGAGTCTCTCATGTTTGTTTGTCTTTTTCAGAACTGTCTTAAATATTCTTAGATTTTTTTTTTTTAACTCCAGAACAGGTGACTTTTGGAACCAGAACAACCGGCACAAAAAGTTCCATTTGCCTTTTGGATGAAACCGTAGAGAATTTAGTAGTTGATTTCTGAGGAATTATCATTCACATTATAAACTTTCCCATCCATAGTGTAACTTACTTTTCTTCGGTTCCCCCAGAAGTGTGTGAATAAGGTTTTTTCAAATTTCTTCATGAAGGTTTCGTTTGTTAACCTTTACTTTCAGCTTTAGTCACAGATGTCTGTTTTTTTTTTTTTTTTTTTTGATAATGAAAATAGTTTTGAAGATTCTCTCTCTATATTCTAATTGGCTTATTTTCACTCCACAAATAGCTGCTGAGATTTTAAAAAATACTGAAATTAGTTCTATAAATTCAATCATAATTTTAATCGTATCTAGTGGTTTTTAGATTCTCTGGGATTTCAGAGTAGCAATCATATTCTAAGCAAATAATGACAAATTGCCCTTTTAACTTTCCAATCCTTGTACCTCATATTATTTTTTTCCTTACTGATCTCACTGCAGCCTCAGGAGAGTAGGGGCGGTCACTGCGCACCTGTGTGTTATTTCTGATCCAAGATTTATGGGGTTTTAACCAAAGACTATTGACAGTTCCTAAATTAGGATGCTCTGACTCACAGTTTTTGACTTTTAACTTTATGATCTGCAAAAGCAACATGAGAACATCAGGAACCTTACTTGGAATTTTGACTAGACGGTATGTGTTCCAGTACTTTCTCGTGATGAGAGTGTCGCCACAGTATAAGTTGAGGAGAACCTATATTATGTTTATTATACTTTATGCTCCATTTTTTAGGCTAAAAACACATTTCTTGCTGAAGTTGTAGAAATGGCTCTTGAATTTTACTGAATGTTTTTCTTCAGTTACTGCGATAATAAATTTTCACTTTTTAATATGTCAGTGTAGTGTTGCACAGTGCTAAATTTTCTGACTTTTACCCTCCTTGCATAAATTCTTGGCATAAATTCTACTTGACTATATTTTCTAATTTAAAAATTCGTATCCTTGGGGAGAATTTGTATTTAGGGCTAGGGAGATGGCTCCGTGGGCGAAGTTCTTGCTTTGCAAATCTGAAGATGTGAGTTCAGAAGCCCAGGACCCATTTCAATGACGGGCAGGTGTGGTGATTTGTGTTCCCAGCATCCAGGGCACAGAGGCAGGGGATTTCTCGGAGTAAGCGGCGTGGTTAGACTAGCCAATCCAGTGGGTTCTCAGTTCAAGTGAGAGAGCCTGCCTAAGTATATAAAATGGAGATGATTGAGGAAAAGAAATCTGACGTCAACCTCTGTCCGCTACATACTCGTGTGCACGTGCACACACACGTGATCTCACACATGTAAACACACATTCATACGCTCTTGCTCTCCTTACACCTATACACACAAAAATTCTATTTAGTGGACTCCTGTGTTTTGGATGTCCGCATTAATATTTATAAGTGAAATTGGTCTATATATTTTAAACTAGCTGTTGAAGGGTGTGGAATTGCTTGTAGTTATTTGTCTTCCCTGCGGTAAGAGCGTATTTTTTTTTTTTTTCAGTTACATGTACTGCCTTCCTGAAACTGGAGTCTACTTCTGTGTCCCTTTGTCAAGTTCAATCGCATAGTTTACTTGATCTTTATGTCTGAGAGTCAGTGTGTCAATCCCAAATAGCGGTTTTAGGCGGCATTGTGACAGTTTAACTGTATCTCAGGTTACTTCTGCCTGCCCTAATAATGGCTACACTTCACACAATGGCGGTTTCTCTACCTTAGTCAGTGGACTATAGAATTATGGGAAACATGGCTGGACTGGGTTCAGAGCCTCAGCTGAAATGCAGCCTACATATAACATGAATGAAGAATATTTTTTTTTAATGCGACGAGATTTGGGGGTTGTCACTATGGTAAACCTCATTAAATATCCACACCTGGATTTAAGACTCAGTGTTAATTGTTTCCATAGTAAAGCTGGTTAAGATATCCATACCCTGCCCTTAAGAATCAGTGTTCAAAAAGAATAAGTTTTTACTTATCTTGATTAAACTGGGCTACTTCATTTATCCTTTCCCTAAACATAACTGTACATTAAAGAAACAGTTGGACCCCCTAATATTTGGTAAAACTTGATTGTAAAACTGTCTCGGCTAGTGTGTATTTTTCATGCGGTGGGGAGCTGTAGGAAGAAGTTTGACAGAGGACTCAATTAAATCTAGTTGTTGACATGTTTAAGTTTTTTATTTTTTCTCTTATGTCAATTTTATATTTCATAATTTATGTTCTTTTTTTCCCTTCCAGTTTGGTAATTTATATTTTGCAGAAAAGTTCTCCTTGTAATTGTGTTTTATGTCAACATAAAGTTGTCTGCAACAGTCTCTCCTGACTAAAGAACAAACTTTCGCTGTATTTTAATTATGCTCTAATGAGAATATTATTTATGTCTTATCTCTTTTTCTTGATAAAAATTTTAGAGAAAGTTTGTCTGCATAATTAGTCCTTTTAGAGAACCTGATTGTCCTTTGTTTAAAACTCTTGTTAAGTTTTGCCAAAACCTTCTTGTCAAAACTTTTTCATATTTCAAGCTTTATCCTCTTATTTTCAGTTCCCCATTTCTATTTTTCCCGTTTTCTTTCTAGCTTTAAAGGTGAATGTATAATTTCTTCATTTCTAGTATTTCTGACATTACTTAGTCCAATAGGGTTGGCTACATGTAGCATCGATCCCAAATAATGGTAGCTTAAAATAAGATGAAAGCTTGCTTTTTCTCATACATGAAAATTTAGATGCTAGGAAACCCAGGGCTGTAGTGATGGCTGTACCATATAAAAGCCATAGAGGCTGTATATCTTTCTATTTTCTTGTTTATAGAGCCTTGTTCTCGCCTGCCTGGTGTAGGACAATTGATCTTTGTGCCTGTGTCCCAGTCAGTATGAAGGATGAAGGAGATAAGAAGAGCTTCCCTCCTTTGGAGACATGGCCCAGAACTTTCAGGCATCACCTCTCCTTTTATCCCATTGGCAAGAACTTACAACCACACGGGAGAGAGTAACATTTGCGTTTTTATCCTCAGAAGTCATATGTCTCAGCTTAAAGTTAAGGGTTCTATGAGTAGGGAAGAAAAAGGACCGTGGATCCATGGACTTCCAGCAGTCTCGTCACAGTGTGCCCCTTCAACACCCGACTGCCCGTCTACCAAAAGAGAGAGCTCTAAAATTTATTGCACTCACCGAAGCCAGTTTCAAACCTAGCATCTGCTGGATGGTGCACCACCCTCTCCACCCATTCTAGGTGTGGGTTCCATGCTTCAGTGACTAAATCTGTTAAAGGGTAAATACCTGCCTCTCATATACGCAACTCACCATGATGGAGCAGGGCCAGTTACAGTGGTGGCTTTTCTATGTGCACGATGGGGAGGTGAAGCAGGGTGGGCAGTGGTACCGCTGGCTAGATCCCATAGCGTCCAGCAGCTTCTGCTTCTCTTTGCTGGAGAAACTTTCCCCTCTATCGTCCTTGAGGTCTTAAGGATGTTACCTTTCTGTGTGTTCCTTATGGTCCGTCTCACACCCAACGTGGGATGACAGAGTAGATTCTCCTGTGAGGAAAGAACTTTTAGAGCCCAATCTTGCTGGTCCAAGTCTAGTTAACTCAGAGTGAAGACTCAGCAGCCATCTCTCTTGATTAGAAATAGATTGACATGACTCCTCAGCATCCACTAGGGGCCTTATCCATTAGCCTGTCTTTAGGCTTGGTGGCAGCTAACTAGTTGCGTCAGAAACAAAGACATGCTTGGAAAAACAATTTCATTAAGTGAATCTTCCTCTCCAGGTTGGCTCCAACTTACTGGCAAGAACAAAGCTAAAAGATATTGACAAAAGTTTGAGGCCATGCCATTATCTCCTGCCAAGTTTGGTACTTCTTTCTTTTTTTTTTTATCAGTAAAATATAGAATTATTGTTTTTATTGAGTGTAATTAACAGGGCACGTGAGGTTGAGAGAATGGGGAAAAAACATACAAACTGTGTCAAGAAATTAAAACATTTGGCATTGCTGTTAATTCTGTATCGACATTCACTGTGATAGTATATATCATTTTTTGCAAGTTACTTAAGTTTTCTATTTCAGAATTTTCCTTGTTGCATGGTTAGGATTTTTTTAGGGCAGGCTGTTTGACACCCCCCCCCCCCCAGGGGAGGAGCAGTCTGTTAAGCTACAGAGGAGGACTTTGCAGCCAGCCCTGAAGGTACCTGATAAAACAGGGTCAAATGAAAGGGGAGGAGGTCCTCCCCTATCAGTAGACTTGGAAAGGGGCAGGGAGGAGACCAGGGAGGGAGTGCGGAGTTGGGGAGGGAATGAGGGAGCGGGATACAGCTGGGACACAGAGTTAACAAAATGTAACTAAAAAGAAAAATAAAATTGGTACTTCTTTCTTAACAGCTTCATTTTGGGGGTTGTAGAACCATCCGGTCTTTTCAGCCCTGATGAGGACCAAATGAAGAGATTCTTGGTCAGCTTAGATGGTAAATACAAGCGAAGGTGCTTTGATCCTGTGCTTCATTCCATCGCTTAGCACGATGGCTATTTTGTTCTAAAACAGTTTCTCTGAAAATATTTTTAATTGAGAAATGGGAAATTATGTGTCTTTGTGGTATTCTGATATGCATCCACAGTGTGCAATGACTAAATCAAGCTAATTAGCATACTCAAGCCTTCATGTTCTTTCAGGGTCTGGTAAGAATAGTTAAAATCTCTATTAGCAAATCAAAATAATACAGTACGTTGTTATTAACTGTAGCCACACAGTTTTAGTATAGGCCTCTTGAACTTCTTACTTCTATCTTACTGCACTTTAGATCATTGACTAACGTCTCTACAATCCCTTTACTCTATCCAGATTATGGTCACTGCTGTTCTAGTCTCTTTTTTTGTTGTTTCTTTTATTATTTAAATTTCAGCTTTTATTATTCTACATTTGAGAAAGATCATGCTATATTTGTCCATCTATATGTGGCTTATTTACCTAACACATATCTTCCAGGCAC